TAGCTCTTAGTTATAGAAAACATATTTATTGTGCAGGAATAAGTTCTTAGCTCTGTTACACTGGTAGCCAAGTAATCGACATTTCGTTGCCAACATTTTACCTTGTGTTTTTTTGTGCAATGACAATAAAGGAAGTCTTAGTCTACGTCTATAGACAGTTAGCATGTCATTGATGATTTGTCTTTTTATCTTCTGTTCAGGAAGGAGAATTACACCTTGAGCCTGCTACTTTTGATCGGATGCTACTCTGTGATTCTGTTTCCTGCATATTTCCCCTTAAATAATTTGTCATCAGACGACAATGACTACCAGGATCCCAAAGATCTGGTAAAAAATTTATGTAATATCACGTTAGCAGGATCTTTATTAAATTTAGCAGAAGAACATATTTTAGCATGCTCCTCTCTCCTCAGCTCTTATTTAATCGATCAGCACTCTTGCTTTCACAACCCTGTCAACCTCGCCTGGGTCTGGACCACCTCGAGATGCTTGCCTGTTCTAAGGGCCTTGTGAACCTCCCGGTTTTTGTACAAGAGCACAGACCTGGGACATGGAATGAGGCCCCTCCTGGGGGGTTCCAAGGGGCTGAAGAACATTTGGCCCTGGCCCTTGCCTCTATGCCTCAGCCCGGACTGCCTCTATCTCTGAGTAAAGAAGGCAGGTGCAGGCGCTGTGTGGTGGTGGGGAGTGGAGGTGTTCTTCATGGTAGCCATCTTGGATCTCACATAGATCAGTATGATGTCATTATCAGGTATGTGGATATGAATCAGTCAAATGTAATATAAAAGATATTGTAATAAATTGTATATTTAGTTGTCTATAGTAAAGAGCAGTTCTAAACAAATGACAGTAAATGCAGTAATCCGATTAAAGGAGAACTATAAAGTTATGGCTAGTATTTTTGCAGCCTGTAAATGTTTTAAAATAGGTTTACTTACTTACTAACCATAACAGTGATTTAATCCTAAGTAATCCTTGGAAAGCCTTTACACAAATTGCTCCAGCAAATTCAAATTTCTTGTCAGCATTAAACTTTTAACTCAAAGTCTAAATTCTTAAGAATTTAAATTCTTTAGAAATCTCCTTTAGAAAGGTGTTTAATTACAAATTTCACTAAACCTTAAAATCCATAAATACATATTTACAAATAAGCTTAAACACTCTTAGGCTATGGAAAGGTTAAAAGTGTCATTAACCCACACCGCTAAAGCAGAGCCCTCTTAACAGTTATACTTTTAACTTTTAAACCATCATAAACAACTGCTACGACAACACTCCCTCCAGTGGGATTCATGTTGACATATTTGAAGCATTTTCTCTCCAAAGAATCACCCTACATATACATATCCAATCCAAGTTAAACTGTTTTAATTTTATATTACTTATCTCATGATTAAATGATTATAAAAAAGCTGAATGAAGTTAAAGAGTATCAATGTCATAATATATATATTTTCTTTACCTATAGCACAAATTAAATGTTTTCTTTAATGAAACAAGGAACAATGGAACCAATCATTTCAGGTCTTAATAGAGAAATTTTCTTTAATAAAAGCAAGGTCTATAATTTTGGGGATATAATGAAAAAACAACATGAACCATGAAAGAAATATACATTGTGTCAAGGCTAAATTTTTAAATTTAGATGTAAATTGGCCTCTAAAACCTCCTATGCTAATACAAAATTAGAGAAAAGGTGTCTATCTGAATCATCTTGCTCTGCAGTGTGGGGCAGCTCAAAATTATTTCAAAAGCCACATCAATCCTTGGCCCGACTAAGGGATGTCACACTTTCAAAAGCCTTGTAGATTATTTCTCCTGACTGGAAGTGATCTTCAAGTTTTTTAGAAGTTCAGTAAGAATTTAACTTTTAATGTGATATAGTATAAGTGGAGGAAGTTAAAGATCTAATGTCTGTCCAATGTAATCAGCCAAAACATGATCTTTTAAATCATATTCAAACTTTTTTTAAATAATCCTTGTGTTTGTTGTGGAAAAAAAAATCATTTGAAGCAACTCTTAAGCTTTTTTGGTTTCAACCTAATTTCCAGGCTGAACAATGCCCCTGTGCATGGATTTGAGAGAGATGCTGGATCACTCACCACCATCCGCCTAATGTACCCAGAGGCAGCGCCTCATTCAGCTGATGAGTACAAAAACACAGCCATGATAGCTCTGGTGGTCTTTAAAAACTTGGACTTGGATTGGCTGACCTCTGTCATCACCAAGCAGCCTCTGGTAAACCAGCATCAGAATTATAGTTAGCATTAGGCCTTCTTTGCAATATAAGCTACAAGTTTCCCCATCTATTCATCATAAAATGCTGTAATTGAACTTATTCTTCATGTATTTAGAGTTTCTGGTCCAAAATGTGGTTCTGGAGGGAGGTAGTAGATGATATCCCGCTGAAACCAGAAAGCTTCAGGATCCTCCATCCAGATATCATTCATAAGACGGAGCAAGTCTTACAGAAATATGCCCAGAAACAGGGAAACGTAAGTCCCTAAATAATTCATCTGTTTCCTATTGAAAAAACTGCATTTGTTTAAAACACAAAGCTAGATTTTATGCATAGGTCATCCAAGAATTTAACTGAGATGAGCAAATACCAACAAATTATAAAAGAACAATGACACTAATTTCTGATTTTATGAAATTATGCAGTAACTATGGAGTAACCGATTAATATATGAGGATCTCGTTTTGCTTTACAACATTAAACAAAGGGTCATTTTCTCTTTTTAATCAAGACGTCAGGAGGCAGACGCTGGCCAACATCAGGTGCCAGTGCTGTGGTGATGGCTCTGCAGCTGTGTGACCAGGTCAGCCTCGCAGGGTTTGGATACAACATGCAGCACCTAAAGGCCAGGCTGCACTACTACGGGGCGGTGCGCATGGAAACCATGAAAGCTCAAGTAAGCTCACAATGATGTAGGGATGTTGGGGTACTAGTTGGTACCACTGGTGTAACAAGTACTGAAAAATTTGATCCTTTATTGAATTTGATCCTTTATTGCACTAGTGTAATCTCACAGTTAAAAAACCCTGTCACCAAATGATTGCTGAGACAGTCTCTGAAGGGATTATTGGTACCCCTGCCGGGAATCCTGTCATGCTAGCTCTATCTTCTCCTGCAACGTTTTACATGGTGTGCTTAGACTGTTAAATACTCCTTTCCTGACATATTATTTTAGATCATCCAGAATCTGTTTCTTTAACACTCTTCCCTGCAGATCTGAGGGCTTAGATGGCTGTGGATGGTGTACTGTCTGTCTAGCTAAAAGTTGCGTTGTTCATGTGTCCTTTACTCTTTTTTAAAGATACATTGTACACTTTTTGTGCAAATGTGCTATAGAAAAATATCCTCTGAGTTTACTAGAGAAAAAGGCCCACAGCAGCACAGCTCCTATGTTGTACTTAGCAGAGATGGTGAATGAGTTTTTGCCTGATTACCATTAAATCCCCCTCAAAATTCCAATTTCAGTCTTATGTGAGCAATTAAGAGGCTTATATTCATTTTATTTATTTGTAATTTTAGAAAAAAATTTTAAGGAACTGCTCTCAAAAAAATTGGTTGGCAAGTAGGTTGATTGATTGATTTTTAAAGTGTCTTATTAGGCACTATCAAATAATATACAATAGGCTGGTGACAAAACAGAAAAAAACAAAGCGTGACATAAGAGCCCATGAAAATGTTGTACTCACAGAGATCATTCATTATCTACAACCCTGAACAAAATTCACACAAACATAAATGTCCAGGTAGGAATCAAATTATTATTTATATTTAGTGACCCAACCATGAGGCTTTTTGGTTCAGTTTTCTGCCAATGACCTTTGGAGATTTTTTCTCTTCCCTTACTACCCTGGTCTCTGGGTACGGTGGCCCCAGGAGCTAAAATATAGGGCATTCTGTGTCATTTTTATGCTCCACAGACACAGAAAGTTCTAAATTAAAAACTAGAATTGTGGGAAATTTTGATGAAATGAAAATATCAAAGCTATAAAATGCAATTAAGATAAAAAATATTCTAAGATATTGTTGGGAATGCTAATAGATGAGTTGTTTTTATCAACAGCTATTATTCAATATTTTTTCAGATGTGATATTTTTTCCAAACCAAACAAATATTTTTGGTGTGTGAGATTGTACTAATGCAATAAAGGCTTAATTTGATTATATTTTAAGGTTTCTTTTGACATATTTTCCAGGGTGCCTCAGAGATTTGTCTAAATCCACCCCATCAGGATTAGGCTGACTCTAGTCTTATATATTTTTTGTTGCTGTGATTTCTTTTTCAAAATCTTCCAGGTGGTGCACGATGTTAGTGCTGAAAAACTCTTCCTGGGGGACCTGGTGGCTGCAGGCGTGGTGACCGACCTCACGGGAGCTCTTTAAGTGAATCCACTGAACTCCGCATTGTGCTCCCCATTCTGGGTGTGAGTTGCTGCAGAGTCCTCTAATATCAGCTGTGTGCACAGCTCACCCAACAGCAAGGACTGACCTTTAAACGCTCCAAGCCTGAATGCCAAAGCAAGGACTGTAAATGTTAAAAGGCTGCAAAAACTAACTTAAGGAATTTCATTTCATTTAAATTCAAGCTGAATTTCGAAAATAAAAAACACAGTATGAATAACAAAGATATATTTCATTTGAATTACGATAGAACACTGATACCCTTGATGTTTAGTAAATGAATGGTTTCATGTTTTCTTTTTATTTACAAACACTTAATAAAAGAAATCTAAGAACACTGCTATTCTTATTTAGAGAGAAAAAAAATTATCAGAAAGAGATTTTTATTGAAAATTGTCAATTTTGTCGCTCTTTGTCGCCAAGATGCTTCTTGTGTGGATTTCACAGCCTCTGATGAAAAACATCCAGTAAGATAAAGGTGGAAACTTTTACTTGTGCCAATCCCCGTTTCCACAAACCCACATGTTCATGATGGCGGGAACGCAGATGAAGGAAAGGGCAAGATTTACTTCCTCTATAGTTTAAACTCTCATAAAGAAAGAGACGGAGCATTTACTTGCTTAGATCCTTTATGTAATTAATGCTGAAAGTTAAAATATACAGTATGTTCACTTTTAAAAGTACAAATCCTGCTAACTTTAAAATGGTGAAACATTTACATAAATTATATATACATGTGCATTGCTAATAAATAGGAAACAAATCTTCAAGGATGTAAAGTGTGATTTGAGGTTGAGGGGGTTGATGAAAGACACCCACGGCTGTGTTAATTCACAGGGTCGGTTGATTGTGCTAATTTGAGCATTTGTTTCTTACAAATTATTTCAGTATTTTTACACAAAAACATCAGGAAAAAAGAAATAGAAACCTGAGAGAGGCCTCCACCTGCCTCACAGGTGGAAGCAATTTTTCCTGTTGGCACCTAATGAAACAAAAAGATGGACACTTTCTGGACTCCCTGTTTGAGGATGATGTTTGTTCTACAGCAGCAGGTTGCGTGAAGGCTCCCACAGTTTGCTTGCCAGCTGTCTACAGTGCTGGAGGATGATCTCTGTGGGGATGACCCCCAGGTGAACGGTGAGCAGCTCGTAGCACTTCACCGTCTCCCCCTTATGGTTCTTGCTGTAGTATCGCAGGAGCCTCCTATTAGAAATGTAGCTTATATTAACAGTAAACAATGGCTTTTCTTTTTTTTCTTAACTAATCATTCTAAAGTATTGTTACTTACTTGTAGTAATCACAGGCAAGCATCCCAATGGGTGGAGAGTCATCGGGTAGAACCGGTATGTCCACTGGCTGCAACTTATACCCCTGATGGATCAGTCATAATTTATAATTTGCAGCAAAAAAAATATATTTTATTGTAGTATAATGATCTCAGAACAGAAAAAAAAACACAATTCTTAATTTTGGTAAAATTATTTATAGCAAACAAACAAACAAACAAACAAACAGATAAACTGGAATTATTGATAGAATCTTCAGTGGTACATTTATTGGCCCCATAATACTCATTAAACTAAATAAATAAAGCATTTATCTTTTGGATTAAGTACGAGACAACAAAATTGACAAAAGAGTCTTGGATAAGTAACAGGACTGAAAATGTACACAGGCATATCTAATGTATATTTAGTAAAGGACTTTAAAATGACTTTGTTTCAATGGGGTATACAAAAGAGATCACGCTGAGGGTAATATTTCCTAGGTACTCCTTAAAATACGGAAGAACATTTATTTGTTTATATACTTTAATTTCCAGAAGAAAAGAGACGGGTTCAAGAAAATAGTTCCTCCTCAATGGAAGAGGCCAGTTTCTCTAAGTCCCTCTTCAAAATTGCATAGACAAAAGAACAGGCCGTCTAAGTAGGCAGACATGCTTTGATCTGCCTATGTCAAGTAGTGACTACAGAAAATATTTGCTGCCATGCATCTACAGCCAGAACAATAATACAAAGTTTAAAACAGCCACAATTGTGACAAACAAATCTAGATGATGAGTTAGACAGACATTTTTACAGCTACACACAATGGAAGATAAGGGAGGTAAACAAACAAACAAAAATAAAAACTGCAGGAATGTGTTTAGGTCACCAAATCTGACAAAATAAGATTATATAAAAGTTTTTTTGAAGATCTATAGAACTGATAATGATTGTGGACGGTGCTGCATGCAATGAGGATAACTTACAGTTTCATTCTCAAACCAGAGGAAGTAGCAGAAGTAGAAATCTCCATCACGCAGTGTAACAGTAGAATAACCTTTCTGAAGATAGCGGCGGGTTGTCCTGACCAGGGCCCATACCTTCAGGATAAATGAGACAGCAATAAAGAAAAAAAAAGATGAAAAATATAAATAAAATAAAATATAAATAAAATAAGTTATTATTTTTTTTATCCAGCAAAGAAAAAGAAATCTGCAACAATTGAGCACCATCTTAAATGCCTCTTTCTAACGTCACATACCACAGGCTGACATCCTGCACTTAGTGTAAACACTACTGTAATCATGCTGCACATTTAAGCTGAAACTATAAAAATATATTGAGCAGCTATTACCAGTTTACTAACTCTTCATGACTACTTTCGTAGTCATGAGCTCGTAGCTTAGTAGCCCTTCACTTTTTAAATTCTCCATTCTAAATGATCACATTTTATTTTCACACATAAAACAGTCAAGTTCTACGACCAAGCAGAGGCTGTCCGACCTTGTTTTTAATGTAATTGGCCACAGGCCCCTTCCCCAGCTCAGACGTAGTGCGCTCCGTGATGCTGAGTGACGGAGCGATCATTTGGCCAGTCGACCGGTCCACGCAGATAAAATGGACGAGACCCGGGAAATCCTCCAGGTAAGTGAGATCAGCTTGGTCAAGAGCCATACAAAGAGGGTTTCATTTTGGAAGCTTTTTGAAATTGAAGTGCTACAAAAATGGTTTCCCAGGACATTCAAGGGTACAATGTTGAAATATCAAACTTTTCCAGGCTCAACTTCTCCTGTCCCTGTTCCTTTGTTTCACTAAAGTACAAACTCCACAGTTGGAAAGGGGGAAGAATGACATAAAAATACAAAGAATAAAGTACAAGCCACACCTTTAATAAAGTGGCATTGAGATATAGTATGGAAATAAAAATGTTTTTAATCTTTACCTTTTTGATACTTCTCCAGACTTCAAAAAAGTTCATATCCAATGATATTATTTTAACTTTTTCTAGGTGCCTAAGACCCATATGACTGTAAGATGTTTTTAACCTGCTGGATATCTGTGTAGAAAACCAGCAGTAAACTACTTTAGAACTACTCTGACTTCACCCTGGAGTGTCACTACCTGATCCGTCCGGAAGCACGATCCGTTCTGCGCATGCGCTATCAGCTAATTTGTGCATGCACATCCAGATATACATCCAGGTCGTCCTCGATTTTATTTTGTCAAAAATACCTAAATGATGTTTTCCCTCCCGAAAAATAGTAAACATACTAAAATATACTGTGTTAAAGGATAATAATGTATTTCCTGAGAAAAGAAATGCCTTAAAATCCTTTCTGTTTTATCACTTGTCTCTGTCCGATCTGCATCGGAAATGGGATCCTACGCTACTTCCAGTGGCTAACTTTTCCGGCTTTGCATTTAAACATAAATCTAGTCTTTTTGAGTTTTATGTTTTCATTTCATGTTAACCTTATGGTATATAATGTGTAATCTAATGAAAGAAACAACTAAAATGCAGATAAACATGGTTTAACCATATTTTGCTGGACTGCTCTGAGCATGTCTGATGATGATGTTGGAGAAGCAGTTTAACGAATTTTTTTTTAAAAAGCATAAAAATTGTCTCACAAAATTCATAAAACATTTTTTTAAGATTTGCATTAGCATTCTTTAGTGGGTTAACCATCTTTTATATAAGCGGCACATTCCTCTAATCTTTGATTCAATGTATAAAATAATCTTTTGTTGATGAGGCAACATAGCCGTCTCCAGCTCAGAGGCCCATATAGGGGCTGGGGCAATTTTGAAAAAAGGATATGACACCATGGTTATGTTCCTCTTGCTTTTAACCAACAGGAAGTCTTTCCAGTCCATCAGTTTCTCTCTATGAGAAGCAAAGTAGCAAATATTTAAGATAAAATAAATCAAGGTTAGAGAGAATAAAAGGACATTAAAAAGTGCTTTAAAGACATTTAGTGATTGTGTTGTAACAACAAATAGACATTTCTCAGTTGACTGATACGCACCGAACCATAGCCTGGGCTCGCTCCTGCAGACCTGCGGAGAGACGCTGAGTAAGATCTGCAGAATCAGACAGAAAACACTGTCTGTATATGCCACACAGCTGGGTCTTCATGTTCTTACACCACGGGATTAGCCTAGAAAGGAACACGTAAGAGATCATTCAAAGAAGCTTCAGACACCTTCTTCTAAGGTGATGTGTGGCCACCAGAGGGCAGCAGAGGACTTACTCTTTGTTGAACCCGGGGCCTCCTTTAGTGTATGCTCGGGTCTTAAACTCTACCCAGACATTTTGTAAGTGTGCAGACTGGGAGAGATTTAGAAAATCTATTGGTTGAAGTCCAAAGAATAAATATCCAACATTTAAAACGTGATTCCTTCAAATATGTAAAGAATCTTAGGAGGTTTACTCAAGCTGGATTACAACATACAATAATTATAATAAAACTAGTTAGCAAAAAGCCTGACAGCCTCTAAGCTCAGTACCAAAGCTGGTATCAAATAAAAAAAAAAAAAACAACTACCTGTAACTCACTGGTCCCCAAAGCCTTGATGAATTTATCCATTTTGGTGCGTATGTCTTGCATATTGAGAGGACTTCTTGCTGATGGGGGACCTCCATGGCCTTCATGTAAACGTTTTTCTAGCTTGTCAAAGTCCTCCAGATACTTATACACCGACATGGCCACTGAACTGGTGGGAATCTGACATGGATATGATCATATTCAATAAATTTGCATGAAAAAGGTTATTCAAAACAGTAACTTTCTATAATGATGGTTTTTACTCAAAGTTTCCAATACAGAAAATTATTTTGAACACCCGTAAAGAGGTTGCTACATAGCATTTTTACAATCTAGGAATCATGCAATGTGTTTTTACAGCCCAACTAAGGATGACATCCTAAAAAAATTAAACGAAACAAAACAATACATCGGTCAAACCATTTGCCTTTTAACGTATCAGGAAGGTAACAGCTAAACT